TGTAAATGTTCGGCCAGTTTAAAATCACTCATCTATTGCTCCCTGAAATGTACTCCTCTCACTGTCCTATTACCATTAGTAATAGTCAGCCCACCATCATGGTAAGAGGTCCGTGGTTGCAGGATTAAAGTGCATTGGCTAAACTTCATCACATGATGCATTTATTGTTTCACTTTTTGTATGTAAGAGTTACTCTCCTTTTACACTCGCAGGTATTCAATATTTTTTATTTTGATCTAACTTTTTCCATATAGGATAAAGATGCAAGTTGGGATTTGCTAGAAAATGATACCTCTCCTCTGTCAAGGGACAAATTACTACCTCAATATGGGTAAGAAGTTATTTTTGCATAGTGTAAAGATGCCTTTATTCTAACAACCGGTTTTGTAACAACGACCCGAATCTCACGACCTCGTGCTCTCTTAAACAATACCATCCCATATATGGTAGTGATACCATATACGTGCATAGTAACGACACTACATCCCTCTCCTCTTTGAAATCATACAACGAACACAAAATGTCCGAAAATAAACACAACTGAATATAGAAAAAGAGTCACAAAAAGTGTCTAGGTTCCTAAAAGCCCTAAAATCCTATAAAAAGTTCTCATGGAGACGAGTGTCAGTCAAGAACATAGTCAGCAAGCTTGACTGGGCGTGTTCGCGCACGCTGGGGGTAGCAACTGGCAGGTGCATCATTGAGCTGCAACGGAGGACCATCACCGTTGGAGTTCTCTTTCCCTTCACTGGGGGTCTTGAAGTTGGGCACGTTCTTGAAGAATGAAGAATTCCTCGGGATAGGGACGCCTTCTGTATTTTCTGCCGTGACCATGGACCCTCTTGTCTTGACAACAGTTCGCGGTATCGGGTTATACGGTGTCTCACCTTTCTTCTTTGTCTCGTCTCTCTTAACCAGTACAATGTCGCCTGCATTGATAGCCGATGGCTTGACTTACAGCCTGTTGTCCGCGTGCTCCTTTTATTTTAGCCTTTGCTGCTTGGTCACGCTGCCTGATAGCAGTGTCTGAGCAGGGTGTCATCATCCCAGGTAGCTTTGTCTTCATTGGCCTGCCGAACAGTGCTGCCGCTGGAGCATTCTTTGTAGTCCTGTGCGGCGTGGCGCGATAGTTCCTCAGCATTCTGTTTAATTCTTGCTTGTAGCTCTTGTTCTCCAACCTTACTGTCTTTACCACCTTTTTTACGGTGTGCACAAATCTTTCTACTTCACCATTGGCCCGTGCCCACTTTGGAGTCACCTTCCAGTGCTTAAAGCCAAGGTCATCTGCGAATGCTGTAAACTCCCAACTGTTGAACGGGGGCCCATTGTCAGATCTCACTACATCAGGGATTCCAAACTCTGAGATCACTTTGTCGAGCTTTGGTATGACCGTTGTTGCTGCGGTTGATTTCACAATCTCCACGACTGGGTACCTGGAGTAGTCGTCAGTAATCAAAAGGAGATACTCTTTTTTGGGGATCTCAGCAAAGTCAACGCTAAGTTATTTCCAAGGCGCTACAGGAAGTGGTGACATCTGTAAGGGCTCTCTCTTGCATTCCGGAGTAGCAATCAGGCAGGCTTCCCAAGGCTTCACCTTGCTTTCAACTTGCTTATCAATATGCGGAAACCAAACTTTCTCTCTTAACAGTGATTCGGTCTTCACGAGCCCTTGGTGGCCTTCGTGTGCGAGGTTGATCACGTGATCTTGTAGACTCTTTGGGATGACTATGCGGGTTCCACGTAGAANATAGAACTTGGCGCGCAGCTTTTTCGTCTCTTACTCATGTGTGGTACTGAATTTTCCCAGGACACCAAGGGGAACTTTTGACTGGTAACCGTAGATTTTTACATTACTCGGTTCAAGCTTGGTACAGTTGGGTAACCTGCGGTATTCTTTTTCATCCAGGATGTTTATGCTCGCTCCAGAGTCAGCCATAAGCGTTACTGTCAGTTCATGTACCTTGATTTTGAAGAGAGGCTGATCCTTCAGGGTCTTCGTGCTCAGAGAAAATGTGTATGCTTCACCTTTGTCACTTCATTCGTCCTCGTTCACTTTGGTCACTGTGGCCCGGCATTTGTTTTGGCTACTCCCTTTTCTTTTGGATCGACGTAGTGCCTCGAAGTGGATTAACTTGCCACGGCCCCGACAAGTTACTTGATGAGCGGGACAGGACGTTTTTCTTCCAGGATGGGGGTAGTCTCCACCGCCGTTTCGGCATTTATCACTTGATTTCAGGATCTTGTGACTATCGCCGCTTGACTTCCGGTTGCGTGACTTCTTGTCAGTTGCACGTCCGCCATCTTTGCTTGTGCCAGCTTTAGCGTTCCAATTTCGCGGACTTCGATAGCTATCGTGTGAGGACAATTTGTTTACGGTTTGAGTCTCGTCTTTGTTGGCGGCTTGTTTTTGTGATAGCTCCATGGCTCTTCCGGCATCTAACAGTTGCGTCAGAGTGTACTACGGATTCTCGAGCGCTTTTGTGCAAAGCCTGTGGGAACTACAACTTTGAACAATCTGTGTTTTTATGTCGCGGTTGACGTCGGCAAATTCACAGGTCGCTGCTAGTTGCCTTAGTCTTGTGTGGAAGGCTGAAATGTGTTCATTTGACTCTTGCTTCGCCTGACGGAAAACATAAATCTCGTACTCATGGTTCTGTTTGGGAGTGAAGTAATTTGTTAGGGCTTGTACAGCTTTCTCGAACGTGTCTTCACCTTCGCACGGTGTGGTATCAGGTAACGTGTCAAAAATTGTGTTCGTGGCTTTGCCGGCATAATGGAGCAACAACGCTCGCCTCTTTTTCTTGTCTGTGACGTTTATCGCAAAGAGTAAATTGCGGAATCTTTGAAAGCCATTTCTTCCACTATCGATCTATTTTGGTGATCCCGTGCTCGTCGCCAGTGTAAAGATGCCTTTATTCTAACAACCGGTCTTGTAACAACGACCCGAATCTCACGACCTCGTGCTCTCTAAAACAATACCATCCCATATGTGGTAGCGATACCATATACGTGCATAGTAACGACACAACACATAGTTACTCGATTACTTACTTTAATTCTGTTTTTAAAGTTTTCTGCATAAACAGTCATGATGGAAGCTTTTATCATTAAAATCTGGAATATCAGCCATTCAGTTTTAAGGATATCTTACCATTGAAGTGGTAACTGATTGTGAATATATGAAAATCATACGTGTGAGGGTTTTTACACAAAACCTCCNTGCAAAGCAATGTAGATCCAAAGTTTTGACATTCCCTAAAATGCATTCTTTGTTTTAAAAAGAAACTATCTTTTGCATCGAAAACGCTTCACATCGAAAAATTTTTTTTTCGATGCCTGTACGTCAAATGTACCGCTTGCAAGAAGAAAAACCGATGAACTGATGAAATGACGCGCTTGATTAGCGCCAGCACAGGCATAAATGGTGAAATTTTTTTTCCGTCCTATCTCTCAAACAAGCACAGTGACCTATCTTTTTTATTGTATTTTTGGGAACAGACATTATTAGGGAATTTCTCTAATAATTTAAGAAAATTGTTCGATAATTTTTCCTGCCAAATTACTTAAACTGTTAATCGTAAAATTACCAAACTTTTAACCGTTAGCCGTAAAAGCCATGTGTTAGGAATGCGCGTTGGAAGTTTAGAGAGCACGAGAGAAGTGTAAGAGTTTTTCTTGGCACGTTCAGTTAAAAGCATGAACCTATTCTTTTATAACATAGCGGACACAACTTGTGCTGGAGAAAAGAGACTTACTTTTGTGTCGGGTCTGCCAGGTAATCGCGGTCAACCCAAAAACTATGACTAAAAGACAAGGCAAAAATTACCAAGCTATTTGTCGAGACCAAAGCTCTATTGAAAGAATTGTAAATTTGCTGATAAGTAGCTTAAAAAGAACGAAATTCTTGCATTACGAGACTTAGTAGATTAAGCATGCTTGAATCGTTGTTTATTAGAATTCACAGCCAGAAAATTGCGTACGTTCCTGACGAAATTTCTGAAATTGTACGATTTTGAAGTTAAATGTAACGGGCGTTGTCATAGGTTCAAAGAGCGTGCTCTATCAGAGCACAAAACACAGAGCTGAGCCGAAGCTGTCATGCTGTCTGCCAATTTGTACTATGCCCGACCATTTCCCGTACTCCTCTCTAGCCTTTTTTCGTTAATTAGAATTGAAATTTTGGAACAAACAAGTTGGCAAGTAGCCACAGAACAACAAAATAAAGCTTTGTAAACATGCCAAGCTGTGAAGATAGTGTTTTTCACTGCCGGAAATAAACATCTGGACATAAGAAGACAGAGTTAACCATAATTGCCTCCTGGTTAGCTCAATTGGTAGAGTAATTGCGCCGCAGTAATTGGCGCAAGCTGTTGCGGGGTCCCTGCCTGTCGGCGAATCTAATAAATTAATAATTATTTTCGCCAGGAATTAAAAATCGAAGCGTTAAACGGTAATGAGCTCCATTGATGTAATTATTTCTGTTAAAACAGGCATGGTGAAAACTCTGCAGGTGTTATAGCTGCTGTGGCAAATAATAATAGGTGTGGAATGGGTCTGGCATACGGCGCAAAAATTGGAGGTAAGCCTGGTCTCCCTTTGTAAGTACTATTCCAGAAACCGTCTTTCAGGCGTTTGGTGAACACTCTGATGAAAGAGCGTTAAGTGTGCTAGAAAGTAGTAGTTCTCGCAGTAATGGCTTTCAGAATAACTAATCGTGTTCCAAACGAGAATCGAAAAAGATTTGTTAGGGTATTTGAAGATGAGTACGAAGACTACCTTTTGGTTGCAGATACCTCAGGGGTGAACAGGTCTACAGTGAGAGGCATTAGAGGTGGAAGAAATATTAATGCATTAACTGTCCGAAAATGCGCTACATGAATTATGTTTATGCAAACCTACATCCCGCGTTGCTTAAACCGCGAAGCAATAAGCAATTACTGGAACACAAACCTTACTGAAATTCGAAAGTTGTTAATGTAGCTGTCAGAAATGTCATGGTTGATTGCACAATAGCAGTAAAGAATGTGCTTTACTTTGAGATGAAAGTATATTGGTGTAAATGAATTTGTAAACACCCTAAATGAAATTTAAAACCGTCATAATTATGGTATTCTTGCTAACTTGATGGCACTTTCGTGTAATTAAACTCTAAGGGGGCGCTATTGAAAATTTATCTTGCGTTCTTGAAGGGCAGAAGGTGTAAAGCAAGGATACCTTAAATCCCTTTCGCACAGTCGATTTAGTCAAAAAACGATTTATTCGGCCTCTGAAGGTGGGAAGTAATCTTAAGCGAGACAGAAGAACTTATTTTCAACAGATTTCCCATTTTCTTATTCACTATAGGTATCCGGCTGTTTTATGATGAAATGGCTACAGATGCTCAGGAGGCCAAAGCGCTAAGCTTTAAAAGAAACCACATTGATATTTACTCAAACAGCTGGGGACCAGAAGAGAACGGATATGAAGTTGACGGCCCAGGCCGTTTAACACAGATTGCATTAGAGGAAGGTGCAGAGAGGGTATGTTGTAGCTATTTAATTAAAGTGTAATTTGAGAGACGCGATATTATCTAGAACTGGATAGTTTTTTACGGTGGCCCNCGCCAAGTTGGAGTCCTGGGACCAGTTTGTGATACTTACAAGAGTCTCATTCATGTCCACAGCTCTTGAGTCCCTGGACACCAAAATGGCTGTACAGTAAGGTGTCGTACGCATGCTGGATGCATTCCATCGATGGTGGAGTGACCATGTAGATCTGATAGATATAAGTTAAAAATCATCGGTCCCAGGATGGACGCCTGTGGAACGCCATACTGAGACGAATGTTACGAGGACTTCCTATCGTCGATCTGCACGAACTGGGAGTGGCCAGATAGAAACATTTAAGTTTTATTTGTAATGCACTGAATATTTCGCTTCTCTGTAAGTGGTCGAAAAGCGTCTCGTAACTGATTAATATCTTAAGTTGAAGCATTACGTCAGCCACCAAGAAGGTCTTCCTTCAGGAATTAATTCAAAATTAGATAGCCTTTTACTTTGTTACTGAAGAAGGGATAAACGTGATCTTTCACCAAGCTGTATCAGAGAACACTCGAAAGTCAATAGCAGTCGTGACTAGCTGATCGTTTATATTTCCTCCCTTGCGGCACAAAAAGGATAAGAGGGATAATTAAGACTATGACCTTAGGATATTTGGCGCGAGAGTATGCTCGTGTGTATCCAGTGGATGATAGCTGCTGTTTCGAACATTGTTTTCGACCTTTGTCACTTGTAATGCTAATACTGTCAAATGTGTGTCCAAATGTCATCCTCAAATAGAAGCTAATAAGTTCTTACTATTTTAAGTTATTACGCGCGCTCCCATTGACCAATAGGTTTATTTATTTGAAACTATCAAAGCGCGGCTGTGACGTCACCCCGTCTGTGTTTTGAATGACGTTTGACACCATTTATAAAAGAAATGGGTGACTTTTTTCTCAGTGTTAGCATAGCCTCATCTAAACACTTGGCGGGAGTTGGGAGGATTCGGGAAAGTTATATAAACCCCCGACTACGTATTTCTTCAATTCTCCTAACCCATTTTAGATATACACATAGATATTAAAGCTATAGAAGACATTTTCCGTGTTTATAAAGCCTCTTCTAACCCGTATGGATGAACAGGGATGTAATCCCTGATGAGGTGAGCAATCGCGAAACAGGCTTGTAGGGATGAAAGCGTAGTCTATGTATTTTTGCTAACTCAACACACGCACACGTGTGTGTGTGTGTGTGTGTGTGTGTGTGTGAGGTCTGTGTTTCGATTTTTCCTCATAGCAGTGCTTGATACATAAAAGTAGTGCGCGATTTATGTTGAGTAGAAAAATACAAGCTTGCATTTTAAAGCGTAAAAAGAAATGAGAGTGGGAATTCGAGGAGTCCTCTCACGTCTGTTACTTTTAAATTATTACTATGAGTCATTGTTACGAAATGACAAAGGAAATTACTCTTTTGTAGGTTAATTGGTTATGGTGCCCATCAATGGCCTCTATGTGGTTTTACGTAACTCACAGTTTTCCTCGAGCATCGCTCAAGTGATTGCTCTAATTAAATGATTTGAGATTAACGAAAGAACTGTTTAAATGTATATATGTCAATTAATAAAATGAAAATTCGGTAAAGAAGTCTCGCCTCGAAGTGCTTCAACTTTTCAGAGTCCAAATCACCACTCATCACCGAATGATAAACGAACCCACGATATACCCTTTTAAAACTTAGGCATGTTACGGCTGTAAGAGTTATATTTTTGACTGGTTGGGTTAAGGTGGGATACTAAGTAGTTGATGTTTTCATTTTTCATTAGAGAAGAAGAACCTTAACCTTCTTAAAAACGAAAAAACTGAATTACTTTACCTTAAATAGGGAGAGAGAAGAAATTCCTTACAATTTTTTAGCTGAAATAAGCTCGCACACAGGTATTTTGTGGTCCATCGTCTCTGTTGTCCGAAAAATTATGGGAGAATAAACTGCAACGGTGTTGCGCACACTGTTGACTACTTCGTAGCCATTGTTTGGTCTTGTCACGAAGCGTTCTAGTTGGAGAGGTAAAGCATTATGAGACGAGACCGTTCTTCAAACTAAGTGAAGATACACTGAAAAAAAGAAGTGATTATAGATCATATTTCAAAGGCCTGTACCTAGGCTTAATAGCATGAGCACCTTATTTGGTTGTTTCCTATCTGGATTTTGTCCCCTGTATTTGGAATATGTGTTAAAATGCAGGTCGTTCAGAAGGAATTGACACGTGGAGTGAAGTAGCGAATTTGATTGGTCAAAGCGAAACGTCAAAGCACGTGAGAAATGCGTGAATAATAGACTGATATGAAGCATTTAGCTCCATATGAAACTTTTTAGTGGGGTTGTATTACGTCTGTAAAATTTAGGTTGTCTGCCTGCAAAAGTCATTTAATGGGGGAAAGCCGAATAAATGGTAAATCAATGAACACTGGAAAATACCGTTTAAACACAAGATGTAATTCATAGTGAAGTAAAGTGAAGTGAAACTTTATTTAAGGAGGAAGCCACATCACCCTTGGGTGGTTTTCATGATGGACTTCCATATAAAAATAAAAAAAATAAAAAATCCTATTATTTAAAAAATCCTATTATTTACCGATGTCTTCAGTGATCCATTGAAAGAGTTCCATTCATTAAAAAACATAGATATAAGTTGACTTATAGATTACCCTCAGGTAGTTTTTTACTGTAGGGAGAGAAAACATAGATTTATTTCTTGTATTATGGGCGTGAATCTCCTCATGCTTAATTGAAATCATTATTCCTCATGCATAATTGAAATCATTTCAATTTCCTCATGCATAATTGAAATCATAATTTCTTGTAGTATAATTAAAAATAAAAGATAACCTATGAAATTTTCTCCTATAATCTGAATCTTTCCAGCCCAGTGACTTCAGTGCATCATGACTAGAAGAAAAAGGGGTTTATCAGTTATTAATTCCGCAGTTTTATTTTGAAAAATTCTAAGTCTGTTCATAAGGATGCAATTACACCTATCACCCCACACCACGCCAGCGTAATCAAAAATTGGTAGAACAATTGTATTAAAAATAATCTCCCTAGATTTATTAGGTAGTAAGTGCTTAATACGTTTTATCATTCCTAAGCGTTTTGAGACTTTGCTGCATATTAAGTCAACGTGGTCAGACCAGGCAAGATTTTCATTAATCCCAACTCCTAAATATTTGTAATGCCCAGTTCGTTCAATGTTCTCATCATTAATGTTCAGGTTTACTTGTCCCAATAGCTTCAGTCACGAGTCTCTTTTGACCACCAATCAGCATTAGCTTTGACTTTTTGATATTAAGGGTAAGTCTATGCTTATTTAATCAGTCTTTAACCGTGATTTAAGTCTTCATTTAATTTGGCTTCCAAATCAATAGCAGTTTGAGATGAGCAATAAATAGCAGCGTCGTCAGCAAACAAAGAAGCTTGGCAGTTTTTCAGGACATCAGCAAGATCATAGAGAACTTCTGAAAGCAAAGAAAAGGACATTTAACATGGCAGTCGACGCAAGAGTAAATATAACTTGCTGATCTTTTCAACTTTTCCCAAAAGAACAATCACAAGGCAAAAACGAGATTATCGATCAAATATGCCTGCCTTATGAAATTTCTTTGCGCAAATTTTACCGAAATGGGTAAAAAGTGGCCCTTTCAAAACAAATGATCTACAATGTAGTGATAATTTCATGTTAGGTCCTCAGCTGACGGCCTAAGAAAGGGTGGTGGCCTGAGCGCCAGTAATCCGGCGAGGGCATTAGGCACCCTTTCAGACTTACAAAGGGTGAATTTAAAATTTATGATATGAGGCCATATAATCGCTATTTCTGACGAATGAGCTATCGAAGAAGATTGAAATAAACATTTTGTCGGCACGAGACACTACACGGCCTGGGTACCCTGTCGGTGCATCATGGGCAGGAATCCAGAGGTACATTAAAAGGGGTATAGCAGGTGATAGTCATCTACGCCTCTGAATGAACCTAATTGAGACCTCTATTTAGTTCAATTTCATTTTTGTTTCTCACTTCTTTGCTGCTTGAACTTGTAATGTCATCGATTTCCAAAAACGAAGTCTCGGACTCCATAAGAGCCAACAACTAGAAATTGATGGACTCTTTGGAAAGCTTCTTACAGGAAACCGTTGCGGAATTAAAATGGGCAAATGTAGATTCAGTGGAACTGTAAATGAAAGAGATAAAGAAACTCAAGTTCAGCGAGCTCAACAAGTTCTGAAGGAATACCAACGAAGACCAGTTTAACCGTACATTGGCTGAAATCATTGACAACGCTAAGACTGCTGCCAAGAGATCGCATCTCGACAAAGTAGAGAACGAATTAGATGAAGGTGAGATATTAATTCTAATTCGTCAAAAGCAGATTTTACTCGCAGACAAGTCGCAGTCTGGCTGGTACATGGTAGAAGAGTATAAGAAGAAAGATTTGGCAGAAACTCGAACAAAGAGAAACGAATTTTCAGTGCCGCACGGCGAGCTCGATCGACTCTCTCCATATTGAAGAATAAAAAGAATGCATTACTCGCCCCGTCCACGAAGGCTGCATCTTTACGCGCCTCATTTTTGTCTAGCACACAGTCTAAACATTAAGTCATTAAGCCTCTTAGCGGCCTAAGATGTATACAGTTCGTCGACCAAATATGGGCACTTGTTTCGCTGGTGACCCAGCCGGGTATCGGCGCTTTATTTGTCTAGCTATGGCCAAGCAACAGTCTCCTTTAATCCAGAAATGCCTACAAGATCAGGATAAATCAAGTGTACTTCTTTTTAATTTTGATAATACTGATTTAATCAGGGACGCTGAAATTGATAACGGTTTGAATTCTAACTTTGTCTTAAACGTTTCTGAGGTTAATCGACTGGCTTTGAATTCGCCCCGCTCCAAGATTCTTGTTGTTCTTCTGATTTTCCTAGTCAGCCCACAGTGCGAGGAAGACTTAAATGTGCATTGAAAACTGGCGTACTTTGGGTGTGTCATGATTTTTTCTGAATGTCATTAGTAAAGGTTGAAAGATGTTTTTTTCTGAAGTTCCTACACTCTGTTTACAAGCTCAGCAGCCAGTCAAGGGTCTCAAACGACTGTATGATCGGATGTTTTTCTAAAATTTAACCATGAAATTGAGAGAACCTACAAAATACAAACTATTAGATGTTGACGAGGAACTTCTTAGGGATCCCGAAGTGATTTATAAATCTCAAGTCTAACGCTCGGTCGCGTCTTACTCAGGGCTTAGAGGTCGACTGCCGGTCACGGTTCTGAAATAACTAAACGAGCGGCAATGGGGAAATCGAGACAGCCTATACAATCCAAACTACTACATGTCGATGAGGAAGATTTATGAGGAGACTTACAAATCTCATATCGAGCGCTCGGTTTTCCCCTTTGACTCATAATACTTAGGAATTGGTTGAGGTCGACTGCCAGTCATGGTTCTTAAACAGCTAAATAGCCGGCAGTCTGAGATTTTCCCAAAAATTAAAGAAACAGAGACAACCTATACAATCCAAGTTATAACATGTCGATGAGGAACTTCTAAGCGATCCCGCGGAGATTTATAACTTTCATGTTTAACGTTAGTTTTACGTTGGCTACTGTCAATAGCCATGATTTGAAATCTCTTGTGGTCATAGAGTTAAGAGAATCATAGTCTTCCTCACGGTCTTTACGAAAAAGAACCTTTCCGCACACCGCTTGAGCTTTTGGTTGTACGTAAACAGCTTGGGGAGTGCACCTGCTTTATCCTTCGTGATCTCTGCTCTGACAGTTCTCTGTCTCGCTTGTCTGTAGTTCTCTATCCACTCTCTCATGACAACTTCCCTTTCTTTGGAAATTGACTCAGAAGGCAGAATTCCCATGAAATGGAAGAACCAAGCCAATATCCAGCTATCTTAACCTCACGCTCGGTCATTAACGCATATGTATCGAACCATAAATTTATGCACGTACAAAGCGAACCGTAGTCATATGCATCGAAGCTATGCACATATCGGAATTGGACCTCAAAATAAGCATTATACCGATCAAAAAAACTACTTCGGCCGTTGACACTGAATTTACAAACAATTTCAGATTGCGCCTGACCATTAGCTGGTGAGCGAATAATTTCATCTAGTTGAAATCTTGTCATTTCATTTCGTTCTACAAAATCGCTGGTTCTGAATGTCATTATAATTATAAGTTAGATTATTTTATCGTCCACTTCCACTTATCAAACGATTTAAAATCAT